GGTGAGGAGAGAGAGAAAGAGAGAGAGAGAGAGAGACAGAGAGAGTGAGAGAGAGAGAGAATGTTAATTTAATGTTCATTAGAAATAAAATTTGAGGTCCAAGGACCCCACCAAACCACATAAAGAACATGTGGACAAAGCATAAGTAACTGAGCAAAGCATCTTTTACTTTTGCAAAAGGGCATGTTGTGCAGTCAGTTTCAACAAGCACACCTGACCTGGAAGCTTGATGGGTTTTAGCCCTAATGCAAGAATACTATGTGGTGTCTACCTGCTGAGCCATCTCACAGGCCCCCTGCATGTTCCATTAAAGGTGAAATAAGCAACGTGCACTTGGGTCTTGCTTATTTTATCACTAGGTGTCTTGTAATTATAAAACTCAATCTATGTCAAGTTAGCTATTGATAGGTGAGGTCATACTACAGCTATTTAAAATTTTTTTTAATTTTTACCTGTGTTTGCATGTATACTACCTGTGTGCCTGGTACCTTCAGAGACCAGAAGAGATCTCTAGAACTGGAGTTAGGGACAATTGTTAGCTGCCATGTGGGTGCTAGGAACTGAACTCCAGTCCTCTGCAAGATGAGCCAACTCTCCAGTCCAGTTGCTATAGCTATGTAACTTCTTACTATAGCTATTATATAACTTATTTTTTAGTTTTTAGTTTTCTCCTGTTTTTCTTTATGGCTGAGTGTTTTACTCCAATCATGTTTTGATTCCTTGTTTATTTTCTGTTTATCTACTATAAGTTTTTGCTTTGTGGTTAGCATGAGGCTTACAACACCCCCCCACAACTTTTGATTATGGCAAGCTGTTTTGAAATGATAATAACATGAGAAAAAATAAACTAAAACAAAAACAAACCCTACACTTCATTGTTTCTCACATTCTGGTTAAAAATTTCTTTTGATCCATTTTTACATTTTAGTTGTTAGCCTTAGCCTTTAATGGCTGTGCTATCCCTCCAACCCTGATCCATTTTCATGTATATAAATTTTATGTGCTTTGCCTGCATGTAAGTGCACTATATACATGCAATGCCTGTGGAGGCCAGAAGAGGGTGTTGGAGCCCCTGGAACTGGAGTTCCTGATGGTTGTTAGCCACCATGTGTGTTCTGGGAACCAAATCTAGGTCTTCTGCAAAAGTAGCCAGTGCTCTTAACTGCTTAGCCATCTCTCCAGCCCCACATTCTGAATTAAAATTAAAAAATTTTATTTTGTATGAGTGTTTTGCCTGCATGCATGTAAGTACATTGATGTCATGAGGTCAGAAGAGGGCGTTGGATCCCCTGGAACTGGAGTTCCTGAGTTCCTGATGGTTGTTAGCTGCCATGTGGATGCTGGAAACTGAACCCAGGTTCTTTTAAGAGCAGCCGTGCTCTCAACTGCTGAGTCATCTCTCCAGCCCCATATTCTGAGTTTTTAATGCTTCATTTTGTATCTTTCTATATTACCTATCTGTGATGATTAATATCAATTGTCAAAAAGTGATGAGATCTAGAATCACCTGGGATATGAACCTCTGGGAATGGTTGTAGGGGATTATCTTGATTATGTAGAGGTGAGAAGACACACCTTCTTGCGTAGCATCATTCCTTGGGCTGAGATCCTGGCCTGTATAAAAAGGAGAAAGTGGGCTGGGCACAGAATTGGTTGCCCCCTGCCTCCTGTGGATGCAAAACTCCTGCTGGCTCAACTTCCCTATATACTGAACTATACCTGGAGCAGAAAGAAAGCCTTAAGTTGCTTTTATCACAGCAACAGAAAAGATGTTATCTCTTGATATGTTAGTGCAGTTATTTTCTTTACTGAAATACGGCAATGTTGCTTAGGCTGATCCCCAAACTTCTAAGCTCAAGCAATCCTCCTGAGTAGATGGGACTGCCAGGCATGAAACACTCACTGTTCCTGGCATGTGCTTTTTAGAAAAATAATCTTCAGGGGCTGGAGAGATGGCTCAGTGGTTAAGAACACTGGTTGTTCTTCCAGGTTCAAATCCCAGCACCCACATGGCAGCTAACAGCTATTCATAACTCCAGTCCCAGGGGATTCAACAGCCTCTTCTGACCTCTGCGGGTATTGCACAACACAGGTGCACTTAGCTACATGGAGGCAATACACGCATACACATAAAATAAAAAATATATATATAAAATTAAAAAAAATCTTCATACTAGAAAATAATGGTTGATATACCACACTTACAATATTAGAATATTCTGAATTTATCTGTATAGTTACTCTGGCTAGTGAGTCAATACCTTTTTCTTTTTGGTGGTGCTGGGGATCAAACCCAGGGTCTTGTGCATACTAGGCAAGTGGTCTATCCTGAACTATATTCTCATCCCTAATTCTCATCCCTAATGTCTTTATTTGAAGAATTCTCTTTGGCATTTCTTGTAGGGCAGTTTTGGTGGAGATATACTCTCTAGGCTTTTGTTTGGAAATGCCTTTCTCTTTTATTTCTGGAGGACAGCTTTGCTGAATACTATTCTTGGCTGGCAGTTTTCTTCCTTCAGTGCTGTGAAAATCTCACACCATTTTTTGGCTTGCAAGATTTCTGTTGAGAAGTCTGCCATCAGGTGAACAGAGACACTTCTATGTGTTGTTTCTCTTCTCTTTCAGCTTTGTTCATTTTTATACCTCCAAAAGCTTGATTACAATAATGGGGTAAGCTTGGTTGAATTAAAACCTGGTAACCTCTGAACATTTGTTTTTGTGCTATGTTATAAAATATCCTTAATGTATTCATGTATCACTAAATAAAAATAAGGTATGTACACCTCTATACATATATATCTGGGGATGGAATGTAGAGTCAAATGTTTGGAGACTCATTGACCCTAAAAATCTGTGTCTTGAAAAAATTTAAGCTGGGTATAGTGGCATGTGCCTATAATCTCAGCACTTTGGACACAGAAGTAGGAGGATCAGGAGTTTGAGCCCAGCTTGAGCTACATGAGACCCTTGCCTCAAAAAATACCAAGAAAAAAATGTGGCTGGGCTGACAAAGATAATGTTTAACTATTCCTTTCTAGGTACAAATTTTTATACTTCAAACCCAAATCCCCAAACATGAGAAGTCCCTTTTTTTCTTTTAAATATACACATATATTTTATTTCAAAAAGCACAAGAACATATACAAGTTTTTTTAATTTACATTTTGCAATAAAAGATATCAATATATGCATCATTTGTATAACTTCATCATGAGTGGAATTTGAATCAGTGGTATAAACATGTTGCAGTCACTAAATATAGATCATCATCACAGTGAACCAAAATGCATAGTTGTTATGAAATGACAAATGACCACTAAAAGGTGAACTCACAGCCCGTATACTAGCATAATAAATTAATTATACAGTATAATTTTTCTTTACTGTATCATTAAAGTTCTTGCCAGCCCCTCACCAAATATTAGAAAACACAGACTTGGGAGTCGTCCTACTAAACCAGTTCTTTCACATGCTACATTGAATAAAGTGACCTGGTTGTTTTAAGTAAACTTCATAAGCAAAATTAAATTGTTTGCAGTGATGAAGGGAAATCACTAGGACATATGAATATCACCAGAGATCCCTCGGGCTGGGGCTGCACTGAGGCATGCAGGGAATAAAACCTCATGTCTGCAGGGCAGAAACCTCAGTCTCAGCAAGCACAACTCAATTAGGAAATAGGTTCTTTGGCAGTAAAGACCAGCTGGCCAGTGTCAGCTAGTCCTCTGGCAGCTTGATAGCTTAGTTCCAGGATTTATGGATTGAATAGAAAAAAGAAAAAAAATAGTCAATTTATTCTTGCTAAATGGGGGCCAGATAACTAAGGCAGAAATAAGCCCCTTCTGATGCCTATTCTAGCCAAGACTTCCAGGCCACTGACATTATATAAAAATAAAGGGCAGTGTCCAAATCACTTACTTAATCATACCAGCAAATCATACTGAATACTGAATTTTATGATCTTCATCTGTCATAATTGTTGCAAATAGTTACATCTATTTCCTGATACCTTCTGAACAGTAATTATCCAAGTAGGAACTCATGATCATGCTTCTGATACCTGTTCACACCAAGCTCTTACTGCAAAACCCACTTTTCCTTACATAAAAATACCAACAAATCTAGCTCCCAAAGGGTATCAGTGATCACTTAGCAAATGTATTTTTATTTGCTTGCTTTTACTGAACAAAAGGTAGGAAAACATTTGTACATACACATGGTAGCAATAGCCACGGGCAAAATAAAGTACACTCTTTGAATGCATCTTTCAACTGCTAATATTTACCCAAAACAACAGAAGCCAAAATCAGTTTCAATTAATGTTCTGTCTGCTGTTAATTCACAAGTTCTTGATATAAAAAGTTAAAGTCAAGACCCAGAAGTTTATGAACAGACTCAAGGGAGTTGTATTATTTATAAACAAGATGGCTTAACTACACCATGTTCTAACAGGACTGACTTGATTACATGGCTTTTTTTGGTCATTTCTATCAGTCGTTTCTATCAATCATAAGACCAGAGTTTATGAAAAGGTTACACATAGATAACAATTTAAGGATGTCTTTTAGAAGTCATAGAAGGTTCAAACTGGCTTAAATATTATGGTTGTAATTTCAGTTTTTATGCCCATTCATTGGGGGAATTTTTCTAATCCTCATTCTACAAATAGCTTACATCAGAACAGCAACAGGTTTCTGAGAGCCATATAGGATGGTACTACAATCAAGAGATAAGAGATCTTAGTACAGAAACCTGCCTTTAGAACAGGTAACTTGCAAGGCCACAAAGCCATCTGCCGTCAGAGGTAAGGATGAGAGGCTCTTGGTACCAAGAATGCATACTGAACACCTCTCCTAATTCTTCTTGTGGTCCACAGTGGGAGCAGAGCTCTCACTCTGTCCATATGGAGATTTAGACCAGTTTCTGGCTAAAGTTATAGGTGGTACAATAAAGATATTTTCTTGCAGGAGAAAATCATTTATGTTCTTGAAATATTTTTCAGTTGGAAGATACTGTATGGCTTCTGCAGCTCCTCTTAAACTGCAAAATCCAAACCAAACCAAATCCAAACCACCACAGATTATCAGAACCTTGCCAGTAATCTAATACAAGCTAAATTACACTTGGGAAAACACCAAATATAAAAGTGTAGAGCTGTTAACCAGATGTAGAAATGCCCATGACTGCTTGATATGACTCCATTTTCCAGGGTGACATGAAATGAAATGAACTAGAATACTTCATGAAGGGGAGTGGGCTTTCTGGAAATATCAGCAGAATAGACACTTGGGTGAACAAGCATTTCTTTAGTGTTCTAGAATATAACACAGATTAATCTATGTCCTTTTTTCCCTTGAAGCTTATGTTTGCTAACTGAAAGCAATATTCCATTAAGGAATATTTTATTAATGTACATGAATATGGACATGGAACAAAAGACCCTCCAAATACTTCCCCAGCCCTCAGAAAGTTCTCTGGCATTTTAGGTTAGTCTTTATTATCGATGTCATTCATGATTGTCTGGAGGCAGAGTTGGAGCTCATAGTAACTGCCAGTTGAAGCCAAATAACATCTGATTTGTTTCCTGGCTCCTAGCAATCTCCTCTATAATGCAGTGTTGTTGCCAGACCAAATGCAGCTTCCGATACCGCTCCCGAGACAAGTGAAGCGGGTTGCCCCTCCTTCAGGAAAGAAAATAACCATATGTAAGTTGGAATCAAGTAACAGTTACATCTTTATAGTCTAAGTAAGCCTGCACTCTTGAGATGTTCCTGCAGCTAGGCACAATCACCAGGACAGGTCTTTTAAAAGGAAATCTCTTCACCATTGATTACTAAGAACTTGACATTTTACTTAGTTAAATGAAGCGGAAATTTACTGCTTGATTATTCAGAAATTAGGTCAAATACACAATGGACACAATGAGACCTGTTTAAATAGCCACCAATGTTTCTAACTTGAAGCAGCTCTATTCTTTTCTGGGTAGTTAGCCTGAATAGGGTCCTAATGGCTTTCTATTCTTTGCATAGTAGAGGTTAGGTATAAGGTATAACACCAAGCCCTTAAATTATATTCTGCTACTCAGAAATACTGTTTTGTACCTATCCGTATGATTCAATTTGCTGATATTTAGCCAACATTTTTTATTTTTTTTAGATGGGGAAGGCATGTCATGCTACATTATCCAGGCTTTGAACTGCAAGACTCAAGTGACTTTTCCGCTTCCTCCTCCTGAGTAGCTGGGACTATCATAGATTATACCTGGCTTAGTGAATATTTAAGTAAAATAACTACTTTTCTATTCCAGGGTTAGTGAATATTTAAGTAAAATAACTACTTTTCTATTCCAGTTTAAGAGGAACTGCATTGTGTACCAGCTAATCCACAATGCCTAAGGCCTGCCTGTTCAGTGCTGTGAGGGAAATCACGGGCATCTAATCTTCCTGCAGTACCAAGTGTCTCACTCAGCTCCTGTTAGTGTCCATACTGTTTATCTTTACAATGTAAGATTATCTTGAGTTTTTTTTTTTTTTTTTTCCTGAGATAGTCTCCCTATTGCCCCAGCTGGCCTGGAACTCACTATGCAGACCAGGCTGGCCTTGATCTCACAGAGATCCTCCTGCCTCTGCTCCTGAGTGTTGGGATTAAAGGCCTGCACAATGCCTGGCATTAACTACTTTTACCACTCAGTATTTTCCCCTATAAACTTAAAGACAGGTCAGATGCTTTAATTGAAAAAGAAAAAAAAAAAACAACAAAAACCTAAAATGTTTGGGAGCTAAAGATAACAAAGTACTTGCCATACAAACATCAGAACCTGAGTTTAAGCCTTAGCACTGACATAAAAAGTTGGGTGTGATGTGTGACTGTAATCCCACTGCTGATAAAGACAACATCCCTGGTGCTCACTGGCCAGCCAACCTAGCATAATCAGTGAGGTCCCAGTGAAAGACCTGGTCTCAAAAAACAAAAAGCAGAGCAAGTAAGATGGCTCAGTGGGCAAAAGCAGCTTGCTGTGCAAACCTGATGGCATGAACTCAGTTCCTAGAGCCACAGGGAAGAAGAGAAAGAACTCCATGGGGTTGTCCTCTGAATTCCACACATAGACCTTGGCATGCCTGCTCCTCCTCACATACATAATAAGAAATAAACATTTAAACAAGCTGGGCGTGGTAGTACACACTTTTAATCTCAGCACTTGGGAAGCAGAGGCAGGTGGATCCCTGTGAGATGAGCTCCAGGCCAGCTAGGGTTATAGGGAGACCCTGTCTCAAAAGACCAAAATAAAAACAAAAACAAGCAAGGAAACAAACAAAAACAATGTGGATGGTTGGTGAGGAACAACACCTCTGAGGTTTTCCTTTGGTCTACACACACACACACACACACACACACACACACACACACACACCCCATACCTCTACATGCCCATGCCCACACATGCCCACACAGATACACAGACACACAAAATAAAAATGTTTTGTTTTTCTCTTTTGCAATAGGGTCTCGCTAGCCCAGGCTGGCTTTGAACTCATGATCAGCTTCCTGAGTGCTGGGATTATAGGCATGTGCTTCCAAACTAGGCTTCTTAATTTTATGTTTTCTGGACCTCTGTAAAAGTGGTCTTACCTCCTTTTATCAGCCACGAGTAGGAACCAGGGAGGGTCAAAAAAAAAAAAACCTCAGTATTATAAGTATTCTGTTAATGTGCAAAAGCAAAGACAGTGAATGCAAAAAGCACAAGACAATGGAATAATGCACGCCCACTTTAGCCCAGTGCAATCACAGATTTCTTTTACATATCAATGTTCTAAGTAATTCTGAAGAAGGTTGGTAAAAATAATAGGACATTTAATCATTAGAGATAATGACTTTAAGATCGTTGGAGATGTATTACTTTCAAATTCTGAGACGCAATGCCACTAAAATTAGTTATATTCAGTATGGCATCACGTTTACTATTTTAAATTTATAGTCATTTAAAAATATCTCTCAATATCTAGCATTAACTGTTCTGTTTCAAGAACTGTTATCATCCACATACAGTAATGTGAATAAAATAAAAGACAATTGATCAAAATCTTCCTATTAAAGAAAATCTTACTTTAGCCCAGGGTCAGTTTCTCCATATTCATCTAAGTAAGGGGCTGGATAGACACAGCCTCTGGCTTTTCCTTCTACCAGGACCACTCTGCATTCTCTGATTCTGAAGAACAAAAGAAACAGCAGGAAACACTATTAGATACATATATGCAAATGATAGATACTTCATCAAGGTAAACCTAGAGAAAATACATGGCCAGTATCTATTAAAATTCAACATAAAGGCAAAACACACAGAGATGAATCGACTAGGCTAAGTTTTGTCTAAGTAAAAGAGAACAAACATTGCTGCTTTTTCCTGAAGGACTGGAGAAGGAGCAGAAGATCTAGGGAAATAAGAGCCCAGTGATCCTGCCTGAATACAGTGAAGAAGCCACAGCACCCTGGAAAACTGGCTGAGGCTATCCTGCTAGCGCCTAACTTCCAATCTAGATGGGAGAGAGCTTAGTGGAAGAACAGAATATCTAATAACCACAGACTAGTCACAATGTCAACTAGGGAAATGTAAAGTCTTTTCTGGTGAGAGCCCACCTCCAATAGTACTTTGAAGACACTTGAGACTCTTACTGCACAGAAATGGCTAAGTACCATAATGAGGAATTAGAAAGTAAGCAGAAATTATAAAAATAAAATGTACAGTTGGGATAGGGAGTGGGCTTACTCCTGTGAGTTCTCTAGAAGAAAAAAGGTATTTAGAATTGGCTTCTAGGCCATTCCTCCTCCTCCCCCTCCCCCTCCCCCTCCTCTTCTTCTTCTTCTTCCTTCCTCTTTTTTTTTTTTTTTTGGTCTTTTTGAGACAGGGTCTCCCTGTAGCTCCAGTTGGCCTGGAACTCACTACGTAGACCAAGCTGTCCTTGAACTCTAGACCAGTCTTTCCTCTAGGTTCAAAAGATGCCATCAAGCAACAATAAATATTCCACAGTTAATAAAACATTTGGGCTTATATAAACAAAAACTGAATTTCACAGAAAAAGCACAGGTAGCTACTCTGAATTTTGTCTCAGGCAGTCTACATTCTTCTTTCATAAATATTTATTATTGTCCTACTCTCAATCTTTTTTGAAAACTAGAGGAAATGCTGAGCTGATAGAAAAAAATGAAGAAAATGAAAACATTCAAAAGACAACCCAGGGTCTGGGGAGATGGCTCAATGGGTAAAGCACTTGCCATGTAAACACGAGGACCTGAGTTTAGATCCCAGCACCCATATAAATGCTTACTGGGTGTGGTGGCCTACTCATAATCTTGGTGATCAGAAGGTAGAGACAGGGCAAGCTGGCCAGGTAGACTGGTCAAATTAGTGAGCTCTGGGCTCAAGTGAGAGACCTTGCCTCAATTATATAAAGTGGAGAATGATCAAGGAAGACACACAACATGAACTTCTGGCTTCCATGCACACATTCATGTATACCATACATACACAAACACACATACAGGGATCTAAAGTAACAATTTACATAGATGTTGTAAGTGTAAGTTTTAGGACTCCAAGTTTTTCTAATATATCTAAATACCATATCACACAGTAGTGAAGTCACTGATAATAAAGTCTATCTATATCATTTAAGATTTCTCTAAAAAGGGCTAGAGAGATGGCTGCTCTTACAGAGGACCCAGGTTCAGTTCCCAACACCCACATGGGGGCTAACTACTGTCCTTAACTCCAGTTCTAGGGGATCTAATGCTCCTTTCTTGCCTCTATGGGCATTACACGACATGAGTACACTTACATATATACAGGCGAAACATTTATGCACATAGAATAAAAACAAAAAAAATTTTTTTTTGGTCTTTTTGAGACAGGGTGCAAAACAAAAATTTAAAAAGTGCAAAACCAAAATTTTAAAAACTAAAAACAGGGCGGGGTGTGGTGACACATACCTTTAATCCCAGCACTCACCAGGCAGAGGCAGGAGGATCTCTGTGAGTTCAAGGCCAGCCTGATCTACTTAGGAGTCCCAGGCCAGGGCTACAGGGAGACCCTGCCTTAAAAAAATTTTTTTAATTAAAAAAAAAAAAAAAGCAAAAACAAAGATTTCTCAAAAAGAATGGAAATATGAACAGAATCCTACTTTAAAAAAAAAAAAATCTTTTGACACAGGGTCTCCCTGCAGCCTCAGCTGGCCTGGAACTCACTACTATGAAGATCAGGCTGGCCTTGAGCTCACAGAGATCTGCCTGCCTCTGCCTCACAAGTGTTGGTTGGTATTAATGGTGTGCCCTACCACCCCTGGCTTAGAATCCTATTTTTGAAACTACTAATTCTGTGATTTGCAAATGCAATTTTTATTTTTATTTTTTATTTTTTTTTGAGAAAAGGTCTTCCTATGGCCCCAGCTGGCCTGGAGCTCACTATGAAGACCATGCTGGACTCAATCTTGCCTCTGCCTCCTGAATGCTGGGATAAAAGGGGTGTGCTATCACATCTGGCTCTCAAATGCAATTTTATATGAATAATAGGTTTATACCTTAACTTGTGATCCCATTAACATCTTACTCCAGTATACTGGCATCTAGATTGGATAAATGTTCTGATCTAAGTTCCTTAGCAAGCTTCCAGATCACTTACTCACTTTAGGAAAATGCAGACTCCTGCTCCACAGTGAAGTGCGTGGAAAATGCAGGCTCCAACCTCTTCCCCATTCACAATCTCTTGGCAGCAAATGTTCTGAGAACATAGTATGGCCCCACAGAAAAGACAGAGGACAGGATGTTTTCGTTCATCATCTGCAGACCGTGGACACCTCAAAGGGAAGGAAACATTCGATGTGTTGGAAAAACAAGGAACAGACCATGTATTTACTTAGCAATGAAGCATGTTTTTTTCACTGCACTCTTTTCAGAATGCTACTAAAATACAAAGGAACATTTAATTACACGATTGCTCTTTTACATTACTCCTAAGCGGACTTAGAAAAATCTTGATTGAGCCATGCTTAGGCCTACATAGCCTTGGGGGAACCTTGCTCCAGGTGCCCAGTAAGCACAGCCTCCTGCATCAGGCCCACCTCACTGCCCACTGCTAGGGAATTCTGCTTCAGGAGCCCAACCTACAGGGCCTCCTATAACAAGTGAGGGACCCCAGCATCCCCTGCTAGGCCCATCTACGTCTGGGAATCTTCTGCACCAGATTGTGCTGCTCTCAACCTTGGTCAGGAAAGCTTCTTATTGCAGTAGATAATGATTACTGCAGAGACTCCTAACTGTTCAAAGTGTTGAGAATAAGTGGCTGAGATGGCTTCCCCTTTGATGGGGTATCTGTATCAACCTGCCCCCCCAGCTAAAATTCGGAGAACATCTTGAAGAGGGGCAGAAAGAATTTAAGAGTTCTGGGCATGGTGGTTCACACCTTTAGTCCCCACAGAAGCAGTCAGCAGGCGGGTCTCTGTGAGTCCAAGACCAGCCTGAACTACATAGTGAGTTCCAGGCCAGCTGGGGCTACAGGGAGCACCTATCTCAATGTGGGAGAGGAGGTGGAAGGAATGTAAGAATCGGAGGATGTGGAGTAGTGCTGTGAAATGCTGTCTTCTGGACCTAATATGGCCGCTACACACATGAATGCATAGCAGCTGCAGTTATCTATAGAAAACCTGCACAAGATCAAGTCAGAAATTCCAGCACGGAGGAGGGAGGGGCTATCCAGACCCCACCCCTAGTTGAGGAGCTAGATGGGAGGGGGCGTCTTTTCCTGAGAGAGGGTGGCCACTAGAAGACTGCCTATTCTCCACACCTATGCACATATGGGCAGCAGTAATTGGAACTTCGTTAAAATAAAAAGAAAGGAGGTTGGGAGGGAGAAGTGTTAGGGAAATCCTGGTAGGGATCGGAAGGGGGAGGGGAGGGGTAGATGTGACAAAAAAAATCCTAAACTCAATGACAGTACATAAGCACACTTTTAATTAATCCATAATTAAATATTTAGTCTCCTGAAAATATGTAAAATACTGATACTGAGCTCCATTTATAGAATATAGTCTTCACCTGACTTGACCAATGAACAGTTATCTCAGTCATAATGGTATGGTCAAGCTGTGTTTGTAATGTTGGAGGAGTATGATCTTGCAAACATGCAATTATTTTTTTTTTTGATCTTTTTGAAGCAGGGTCTCCCTGTGGCCCCAGCTGTCCTGGAACTCACTATGTAGACCAGGCTGGCCTTGAATTCAGAGCTCCGCCTGCCTCTGCTTCCTAAGTGCTGGGACTACAGGTGTGCACCACCATGCCTGGCTGTGCAATTGTTTTTTAAAAAATATTTTATTTTTATTTCATGTGTGTGAGTATATTGCCTGCATATATGTAAGTGCACCTGTGTCGTGCAGTGCCCATGGAGGTCAGAAGAGAGTGCTGGATTCCCCTGGAACTGGAATTACGGATGGTGGTTAGCCACGATGTGGGTGCTGGGAATCCAACCCGGGTCTCCTCGAAGAACAGCCACTGTTCTTAACTGCTGAGCCATCTCTCCAGCCCTGTAAATGTGCAACTGTTTAAAAATTGCATCATAGCCAGGCGTGGTGGCGCACACCTGTAGTCCCAGCACTTGGGAGGCAGAGGCAGGTGGATCTCTGTGAGTTCAAGGCCAGCCTGGTCTACATAGTGAGTTCCAGGCCAGCTGGGGCTGCAGGGAGACCCTGCCTCAAAAAAAAAAAAAACAAAAAACAAAACAAAAACAAAAAAAACAAAACTGCATCATAGAATAAGGGTTCAAACACAATCTCTACTCCATTTCTTTTGAATATTGAGATCTTCAGGGTTCAAACAAGAGTCTATAGCCTTTGGCTGGTGAAATCTCAGTAGTTCATCAAGTCTTAGGAAAAAGTGATGAGGTGACTTGCTCAGCAAGCAGTACTTTGAGATATGATCATTTTACATAATGGTATGCTGCAGCCTGGCCATAGAGTCCAATGCTCCTGCTATCTTTGCAATATACAGACATAATGGGAAACAAGCAGAGTCTTTATCTAGCATTTTAAATCCTCCCCCTGCCCCCACCAGGACAGAGCCAGCTAGGCAGGCCCACCTTGGAGTCAGAATAAACAGCATCAAAAAGAATCTCCTACAGGGAACCAGAGTTTGTTTTGCCCGTTTTGCAGACACTGGCCATAGGAAGAGGACTCTCTGTACAGAGGCATTCCATTCCTGCCTCCTGCAGGTGAGGGGACTATTTTCACCTTAGGGAATGCTCTAGCATATAATCATGGGCTTTAAGATAAAGCTCTGTCTCCTTTCACCTTTAAAGCAGAGTGGTTGAGTCCAAGTCACTAGCTATCCTATGGGTAGAGTGTCTGTGTACCTGAAGAACAGTAACAGTATGATTCTTCACCACTAGAGACAGTTTAGCCTTAACAGAAACTAGTGAGGACAATAAAACTAGAAGAAATCATAGGATTTAACTTCTTTCTTACTTGAAACCAGTCAGTGGTAACATTCAGGAGGTTCTTCACTGTGACTAACGACAAACACTCTTCTCAGATTTTCCTAAGAGCCAACAAGCTGACATTCTTTAACACTTAGCAAATAGCACCTCTCCACTGGGCTTCTGTGGTAGCACCACAGCCCTAAGATTAGGGGATCACTGAATTTAGAGCTATATGCAGTCTTTCAAAGTATCTAGCTAATGTGAAGGATGAGAGGTGAAATGACTCAGCATTCCTTTAGCTGGCTGACTATCAAGGAACCTAGAAGAAGGAGGCTAATTCTATCTGGAAAAAGAAGCAGAGGATTGGCTACTCAAGCGCCTGCTGGGACATTCAGATCCCATAGTTGCCTGGCTTGCCGCAGTCAAATACAGAGTGCATCAACAAAGTCTTAGATCTGCTGCTGAGATTCTTGTCATTGCATTATAAGTTACTGCTAGTTTCATGTCATCATATCAGTTTTATTTGCTTTAGGAGGTGATGTGATACCACCCAATAGTTCAGCATACATAGTGGCACCTACAGAAGTTCTGGGTGATTATTTCTAGGAGACAGCATACTGTGACTCAAATAGGAAATAACTACATTCCAATGCTTAACACAGATATGAATCCAATCCCTCCATTTAGTGACATTTCCTTGGTGATAACTGATTTTTTAAAAATTATAATTTAGGGCTGGAGAGAGGGCTCAGTGGTTAAGAACACTGGTTGTTGTTGCAGAAGACCCAGGTTTGTATCCCAGCACTCACATGGCAGCTAACAACTGTCCATAACACCAGTCCCAGGGGATCTGATAGCCTCTTCTGACCTCCGTGGGCATTGTACAACACAGGTGCACTTACCTACATGCAGGCAATACACACATACACATAAAATAAAAATAAATAAAATTGCCAGGCATGGTGGCGCACACCTTTAATCCCAGCATTTGGGAAGAAGAGTCAGGCAGATCTCTCAAGAGTTCGAGGCTAGCCTGGTCTACATAGTGAGTTCCAGGCCAACTGGGGCTACAGGGAGGCCCTGTCCCCCCCCCCCCAAAAAAAAAACCCATCAATAAATAAATAAATAAATAAATAAAAATAATTTAAATTAAAAAACATTTTATTCTATTCAAATTAAATTACATCATATAAAAGCAAGGTAAATAAAAACCATCTGGATTTTAATACATTACTATTATTCAGAATCACACATTTAAACATTTGCTTTTCTCTTATAAAAGTAATGGTAGGTCACATATGCTGTCATTGAGCACATTAAATTTTCCTTCTCATCAGTCTTTGTTATCAACTGGCCCTTTTCCCCCTTGAAATGATCAGTGAAATGGGAGGGGGGAAAAAACCAAAATGACAAAGTTTAAGAATCAGAGTTTTGGGGACTAGAGAAATGCCTTAGTGGTTAAGGGCACTGGCTGCTTTTGCAGAGGACCCAGGTTTGGTTCCCAACACCCACATGGTGGCTAACAATTACCTGTAACTCCAGTTCCAAGGGATTTGATGCCTCTTCTGGCCACTGTGGGCACTTCATGCATGAGTGCACTTGCACACATGGAGGCTGAACAGGTATACACATAAAAATAAAAAAGAAGCCAGGCACTCAGGAGGCAGAGCAGGAAGATCTCTGTGAGTTCAAGTCCAGCCTGGTCTACTTAGGGAGTTCTAGGCCAGCTGGGGCTTACAGGGAGACCCTGTCTCAAAAAGACCAAAAAATAAAAATAATAAAATTAAAAAAAAAAATCAGAGCTTTAGCAAGGTTTTGACTGTGGTGTAACAGGTTATCATGTCAAAAGAACCTAAATGGTTTTCTCTCTCTCTAGGACCCAGGCTTGAACCTGAGTCACCATGCTATTAACTGTTTTGTTGCTATTATGCCTGAAAAAAAAAAAAAAGTTCTGTGGCTTAAGAAAGGATTGAAGAGGTACATCACAGAAGGCGGTAGGACAGGAAGCTCCTGGTTTTCCTCTCTCTCATAAGGCAACTACTGAGTTGCAAAGAACCAGCTGAAGCAACTACTTTGGGAATCGCAGCATCTAGGGAGTGCAAAAAGAAGCTGGTAGATGTTGGCATTCTTTGTATGACTTCCATCTCTTATTCTGTAGCTCACACAGGAAGATATGAAGATGCAGTTTGTATTTCTGGTGTCTTTCTTGTGCCAGGACAGGCAATAGGAATTCTGTCCTCAAAAACTGGGATTGCATGTGTAGATTTATCTGTTAGTTCACTGAGGGGCTGGCAAAGATGTGAAGAAATAACATGTCTCACAAATTTGGTGGAACTGTAAATGACACAGCCACTGTAGAAAAGGGTTTAACACTGAAATGGTCAAACATATGTATGACATAGCAAATGACCTCAGTATATGCCCCAAAAAAATATGTTCATACAGTAACTTATAGAAGCATGTTCACAGTAACATTATTTATAATAGTCAAAAAGGGGGAAACAACTCCATCATAAATAAGTATAAATGTCTATCAGTGGATGAAGAAATAAACAACTGTGACCTATATATACAATGGAATACTAACTAAAACAGGAACAGACTATTGATACATGCTACAACTTGAATAAATCATGAAAACATGTTGCGTGGAAGTCAGGTGGAAAGTTATATATTGTGATTCTTCTCCTATGCTATATTGCCACAGGTAAATTCAGAGAGAGAAAGCAGATTATTAGTTACGAGGCAGTTGGAGACCAGGGGAGTCTGAAGTGATTAAGTGCTTCCAAAGCATTTGGAGTTGTGAAAGGTTTTGAATGTAGAGAGGTAGCAGTATAACCTGCAGCAGTTGTGGAACACTGTGAATAGTGAAGATTCACTAAACTGTATACTTTATCATGGTCTGAAAAAAGATCAACACTATTACAGAAGATGCTCAGTACTTTTTAAAAGCTTTTAAAAAAAAAAAAAGAAAACCATTATTTTGTGTGCGTGCATGCGTGTTTAGAGGTCAGAGGACAACTTGCAAGAGTGAGTTCTTTCCTTCTTCCTTGTGAGCCTCAGGGATCAAACTCAGGCTAGCCCCCTTACCTGCTGAACCATCTCACCAGACTCACCAGATCTCAGTGGTCATTGTTTATCATTGCTTAAAATGTTAAGTTAGTTATACACACAAACACACACACACACACACACACACACACACACACACACACACACACAGAGTTACCTAAAATGAGAAGCTTGATTTAGGAGACAGCTGTAGTCATCAGGAAGCTCTATCAAACTATTTCTTTTTCTAGGGTACCTAGAAACATATTTTAAAAGGCAGTTTTAAATACGAGTAACCAAGTTCACATTAAAAATTGAAGAAGGCTGCTGAGCGTGGTGCATTTCCTTATCTATAACTAGAGCTGACTATATTCCAACCATAGGCAGACCATTATTTAATGTTTTAAGGAAAAAGAGAAGAGAAATATTCAATGAACTCATCAATTAAGACTCAATGATTTAGGGTAGACCAAGAACTTTTTCCTTCTTTGGAACCACCTCATTTCAGTAAGGGTGATTCTTCAGAGTGAAACTAAGGTAACTGGAATGAGAGTAGGAACGGGGCGGGGCGGGGCGGGGGACGGACAATGATTTAAACATTTTAAAAATTTTATTTATTATTTTATGTGTATGAGTGTATTGCCTGCATGTATATAAGTGCACCCGTGTCATGCAATGTCTGCAGAGGTCGGAAGAGGGCATAGAATCCCCTGGAGCTTGAGTTATGGATGATTGTTAGCCACCATATGGGTGCTGGGAACTAAACCCAGGTCCTCTGCAAGAGCATCCAGTGCTCTTAACCCCTGAGCCATCTCTCCAGCCCAGACTCAATGATTTAAGAAACTAAAGTATCAAGGAAACTGCCAGAGCTCCTCAAGACTAAATGAGACTCTGAAGTGAAACTTACTACTTGATGCATGCTGGCAAGTGTTATCATCCAGTCCCATTATGCTAGAGGCAATAAATGATTGGCTTATATGTCCAGGGAAGATCTTCTGAATAACAGGGACTCTCTCCCTAAATATTACCAATTTACTTTTGATAATTCTTTTTTTTCAGCTAAAAATGATCTCTTCTAAGACAAACCCTGCTTCATTACGAATCTTCCCTTCATCAGGCTGGCCTCAAACTCTTGGCAATTCTCCTGTCTCAGCCTCCCAAGTGTTGAGATTACAGGTACAAACCACATGGCCAGCTTCCTCTTTATATTTCTTAAAATTTTGGGTTTTTAAAATTATTTTTAATCTTTAAAAATATTTTAATTAATTAATTAATTAATTAATTTTTGTCTTTTTGAGACAGGGTTTCCCTATAGGCCCAGCAGCTGTCCTGGAACTCACTATGTAGACCAGGCTGGCCTCAAACTCACAAAGATCCGCCTGCCAATCCCAAGTGCTGGGATTAAAGGCGTGTACCACCATGCCAGGCTATTTTTATTTTATTTTTTTATGTGTATGAGTGTATTGCCTACAACCATGTAAGTGCACCCACATCATGCAATGCCTGAGGAGGTCAGAAGAGGGCATCAGATGCCCTGGAACTGGAGTAACAAATGACTGTTTGCCACAATGTGAGTGCTATGAATCAAACCCAGATCCTCTGGAAGAGCAGCCAGGCACTAAGTTATCTCTCCAGTGCCTATTTTTATTTTTTTATGTGTTTGAATGTTTTCCCTGCATGTATGTAAGTGTACCATGTGCATGCAATATCCATGGAGGCCAGAAGAGGGCATAGTATCCTCTGAAACTGGAATTAAAGGTGGTTGTTAGCCACCGTGTGGGTGCTGGGAACCAAACCGAGTGTCCTCTGCAAGAACAGCAAGCTCTCTTAACCTTGGAGCCATCTCCTCAGCCCCTCTTTGTATTTCTTTAAGGCATTAATGGTATACATATCACTAAATTTTGTTATGTCTTGTTTTATGTATATAATTAAATTGAAAATTACTCATGACAAAGTCCGTATGTATGTGTTACCTCTTTTAAATTTCTCAGAGTATTTCAGTATGATGCTGGTGGGGAAATAGATGTATAAAAGGCACAAAATAAAATTTTAAAAAATTACATGAAATTACTAGACTAAAAATGGATACATATTATAAATTTTTCTTTTTCTCTGTACTTTGAGGTATGTCCAGCTAAGAAAAAGGTGAAGTTTTGGTGTTTCTTTTTGGTGAAGGGATGGGGGGCTAGTTTCTAAACAAGTATACAGGAAGGAAACGGGACTAGTCAATTCTATTTATATCTTTATTCTCAAAGTGGGGGAAACTAGTCTACTTAAGACACTGTAAATCAATACCCGCTGACTTCTGTGTGCCAGTTGCTCCCCACCACAACTTACTTTGCTTTTTGACAGGCATGTACTAGCTTAAGAAAGATTCTCTTAAGTATGGTTGGCGACCTCTGACAATTTAAGAAGGAAAGGGCAGTCATTACAAGAAAAAAAAAAAAACTGTAGGAAGAACCTGATGTCTGGCAAGGACCAAGAGACATACAGAAAGCAATGAACTATGAATGAAAGACAGACCAGAAAGCACAGCAAACCAACCAACCACTTAAACACAATGTGTAAACGGGGCAAAAAGGCTTAAGTAGCTAAACCAACCTGACCACAGCACTTTTCTGCTTCAAGCAGTTTAGTATGGCAGGATCTGCACACCACCTGTGAGGAGGGCCAAGAGAAAAAGCACATGAATTATTGCAGACTCAACACAATATTCTTCAATGAACCACTCTCTCTAATTCTATGTTCTCTTTCTGTTTAATTTTACAATGCCCCCCCTTCCCTCCCTCCCTCCTTCTTTCTTCCTTCTTTCCTTAGAACAGGGTAGAGGGAGGGAGAAGTGGTGTAAGGGCTGAGAAGCCAAGAAAAGAAGCAAGTCAGCCTTATACATTACTCCCCTGCTCTCAGGCTGCAGGAAAGAAGGAAACAGAATCATTAGCTCCAGGGATAGGATGCCATTGGGTAATGGACTCACAGTAGGCTTCTCTAATGGCAATTTGGACTACAGAAGAGCTAAAGACAGTACCGAAGATGCCTCACAAAACAGAGAGGTAATAGAAATGCTCTGGTTTCTTTCTTCTTCCTGATCTCTAATATCCTGCCAGGGCCTCCCACTGGCTAAACCTAGGCAGAAGCCACCTGATAAGGGAGACTGGAAAATATGGCCTGCAGGGCTCTTCTGTTTTAACAGAGCAGAGAAGGGATGAGGCAAGCAGGATCAGGAATGGCAGAAATGGCAGGAGCGTTCTATTTTAATGGTTTTTTAAAAAAATATTTTATTTATTATTTTTATACTTTTATGTGTATGCGTGTATTGCCTGCATGTAGGTAAGTGCACCTGTGTTGTACAATGCCCTCAGAGGACAGAAGAGGCTGTTGGATGCCCTGGAACTGGAGTTACAGACAGTTGTTAGCTGCCATGTGGGTGCTGGGATTCAAAACAGGGAACAGGGTCTTCTGCAAGAACATTCAGTGTTCTTAACCGCTGAGTCACCTCTCCAGCCCCTTTAATGTTTTTTTGGGTTTTTTTTTGGTCTGTTTTTTGTTTTTTGAGACAGGGTCTCCCTGTAGATCCTGCTGGCCTGGAACTCACTATGTAGACCAGGCTGGCCTCCATCCTCCTGTCTCTGCCTCCCAAATGCTGGGATTAAAGGCCTGTGCCACCACACCCAGCTTGAATTTTTTAAATATAACTAAACAAGAATAGCAAGTTCAAAATTTAACTATTCCAGGAATATAAAAATAAAGTTGTATAATCTATTGTGACTGTACTCAACATAAGGCATAATACTAATTTTTAAAAACAATTCATTTATGTATGTGTTTGTTTATTTTAGGACAGAGTCTTTCTAAGCCCCAGCTGGCCTGGACTTTGCTACATAGACCAGGCTGGTCTCAGTCTCACAGAAATTTGCCTGCCTCTGCCTTCAGAGTGCTGGGATTAAAGGTGTGTGTCACCATGCCTGGCTAAAAACAATTCAGTTTGACCATACTGGCGATCACAATGCCTACCATAACTTAGGAAGTAAAGCAAAATCCTGACACATAGAGCCTAGCAAACAATATGAACAGCAGGAAACAGAGGCTAGCATTTGCCCTAATTTTGACCTACCTGGACATGAAAAAGGAAAAAAAAAAAAAAATCACAGGAGAGGTAGATATGAGTAACACAGAATTGATTATAAAAATGGTGCAGGCAAAAATAGACTAAGGAAAGTAGAGGTCCTAGGAGGCTGACAGTAACCAGGGGACTAGTGTGTATCAGATGGTTAGAAAGTTTTTCTAGAAAAGATACATCTCTCTGTGGGAAAGCTCAGTGATCTATTTTTCATCTACCAAAGGACTATCTCCTCAGACACTCTCCTGAGATGTGTTCTACCACATTTTCTAGGGTTTTGGATAGAGTTCCAGTTTGGACATTTTTTTTTTCAAGACAGTGTTTCATGTTGTCCTGGACTAGACTCAAACTTGATACACAGTTGAGTATGACCTTGAACTTCTGACCCTCCTGCCTCCCAGAGTTCTGGGATTACAGGCTTACACTGTGCCACCATGCCTGGTTTATATGGTGCTGGGGATCAAACCCAGGACTTTGTGCATGCCAGGCCATAACTCTACAAACTGGGCTATACCACAAGCCCTAGTTTGGGTACTTCTGATTATTCAACTGTGATCATGTCTGCTAGCAACAGTTCCCTTCCCACTCCTTACCATGCTTTAAAATTGGAGTGAAGCTGGGCATGGTGGCACACGTCTTTAATCCCAGCACTTGGGAGGCAGAGGCAGGCGGATCTCTGTGAGTTTGAGGCCAGCCTGGTCTACATAGTGAGTTCCAGCCAGCTGGAGCTACAGGGAGACCTTTTCTCAAAAAGACCAAAAAAAAAAAAAAAAAAAAAAAAAAAAAAAAATTGGAGTGAAATACCAGCTGTCTAGGAGGGGCAGGCAGAAGTCCCCTCTGACCACAGTCTAGTCTTGGCCTCATTCCTCAAGTGTGTGAACAAAGAATCACCTGTGCTTCTGCTACACTTTCAATCAATGCTAATCTATCTGAAAGCTTAGTTAAAAACTGCAAGTAAAAATATTTCAACTCAAGAGGAAAGTGTGACGGTCAAACACTTGTAATTCTAGCACTTGGGAGGCATAGGCAGGAGAACCGGGAGTTCAGGACCATTCTCAGGTACACAGTCTCAGATGAACATGGGCTACATGAGACCGTGTCTCAAAAACAAAACAAAAATTTCAAATTCAGCACTAGGGAAAGCTGAGGAAGAATTTAGAGTTTGAGGCCAACCTGGGCTACCTAACAAAAGCCTGTCCCAAAATCTATCAAAAATATGAACTGGAGAGATGGCTCAGCAGTTAAGAACACTGGCTGCTCTGGCAGAAGACCAGGGTTTGGTTCCCAGTACCCACATGGCAACCAACAACTGTCTATAATCCAGTTACAGGGGATTTGACACCCTCTTCTGACCTCTGTAGGCATTGCAGGGCATGGGTACACTTATATACATGTAGGCAATACACTTATAAAATAATAAGCCATCAAAAATAAAAATTTCAAACTAGATAGAAACCCATCAGTGATATTTTACTCCCATAGTACCTCTGGAGTAAGGGTCTTACAGTATCCCAATATTCCTGGAAAAGCAGGAACAAATTTGTGGGTAAACATAGATAGCTACATAGTGCACTGTAGTCTCCTTCTGCAGAATCTGCAAGAGAATAACATACAGTTAATAAGCACATTATTCTGATCCACTCAAGACTGCACTTTCCTCATTGTTAACACTAATTTCTATGCTATTATATAGAGAGTACACTTTGTGCTCTATAAAGCAGTAGGTAGTAAATCCGAGTCACTTCTTGATCAGATGGTTCCTATGTCTAATCACATCATTTCACTCAGTATAGAATATAGTCTTTTTTTGTTTTTTTTTTTTTTTTTTTGCTGGTACTGGGGATAGAACCTGGGCCTGGTGACATACTCTACCACTGAGCTACAACCCCAGCAAACAGAGCCTTCATTGTGAAGTGCATATCCCTGGCTGCCTCCTGGATAAGCCATCCATGTGGCTTCCAGCCATCCTCACATCTTTGCTGTTCTCTGACTATGTCAAGCAACAACTTTGTACTTATTTTCCCTTTTTCTTAGGAACACCCTTCAATTATCTGTTCAGCTCAACTCCACACATGTAGCTGTGTTTGATGTCTTCCTGGAGAGAAGACCTCCTTGATTACCTGTCAAAGAGTTCTGACCCTGGCCTCAGCGCTCTACTCCCAACATCACTTTTACTTTTCTTTGTACTACTCATCATCTGGCATTATATCATGCATATTTATTTGTTTCTTTGCATTCTGTTCCATTCTAACAAAAGAAAACACTACATCCTGTGGCAGCTACTAGATAAATACATGATTCTTTTATGTATGCATAAGCAACGGATCTGTACTGGCAATTACTTAGGGAGTGGCATCCTATTTTATATAGAACCTAGACAAAGCTTGATCAGACATATCCTATTGAACTGAGTTCCATAAAGAGGTTGACAGATATAGTAGAGATGACCTTGTAAGTTCATTCTCAAAGGACAAATGAAGAGTCTCTGAATAATTTTGGCCCCTCTTCCAAAATCAAATAGATATTCTGCTTCTCAGTGGTAGAAGATCATAAGGAAGCCTTCTCTACTTTGGTTTAGATTTTGAATAAATGAAAAAGAAAGTGATGCTGTTACTTAAATATATGCGGTTTTGGTTGTTTAGAAGGCCTTTCTGAGCAGTATTTTAATTATTTTTTAAAAAAAATTTATTTATTTATTTATTTATTTATTTATTTTTGGTCTTTTTTGAGACAGGGTCTCCCTATAGCCACAGTTGGCCTGGATTCCCTATGGAGACCAGGCTGGCCTCAAACTCACAGAGATTCACCTGCCTCTGCCTCCCGAGTGCTGGTATTAAAGGTGTGCGCCACCATGCCCTGCTTATTTATTATTTTTTATGTGTATGTGTGTATTGTCTGAGTGTAGGTAAGTGCACCCATGTTGTGCAATGCCCGCGGAGGACAGAAGAGGCTGTCAGGTCCCCTGGAACTGGAATTAGGAAAGTTGTTAGCTGCCATGTGGGTGCTGGGATTCGAATCCGGGTCTTCTGTAGGAACAACCAGTGTTCTTAACTGCTGAGCCATCTTTCCAGCCCCTTAATTCTTAAATATAATCTTATGTTCAAAGTTCAAATATCACAGTAAAAATAATTGTCTTTTTTTCCATAAAGGTAACAAATGTGTCTAATTTTCTTTATATCCTATCAGTTATGTTTTGCATAAAGGTATTTAAAGAAATTCATGTGTGCATGTATGTATGTATATATGGGGGGCACTGCGTGCCATGCATTTGTGTAGAAATCAGAGGACAACTTTTGGGAGCTGGTTCCTTCCTTCCATTTTGTTGAGGCAGGGTCTCTCTTGTTTCTGCTGCTATGCTCTGAACTCTAGGCTAGCTGGCTTACAAGCTTCCAGGCGATTCTCCTGTTTCTGCCTCTGTGGAGAACAGGAGCGCTGAGATTACAGATGTATATCGTGGTATCTGGCTATTAAACATTCATTTATTTATTACATTTATTTATTGCCATGGTGTATGTGTACATTGTCAGAGGACAACTTGCAGGAGATGATTCTCTCCTTCTACCATGTGGGTTCTATGGATCAACCTCAGGTTGTCAGGCTTGGTGGAAGGAACCCTTATCCAATGAACTGCCTCAACAGTTTGCATCCAGCTTTTTTTTTTTTTAATAT